TAAATAAGAACTAAAAAAATGCCAATGCTAAAATAGTCTTTTTTACTTTAAAGCCCATTAATATCCCCTCAGAAAGCTTACTATATACATTTGGGCTTTGGAATTGCAATGTTCAAGTTAAAAATTTTACCGTAACATCAAATCAAGTGTACTATATTATAGGTACTCTGAAGCCACCCACCAGGTTATACATACTCTCACTCAATCATGTAAAGAATTGAATTCTTTATTTGTGATATCCATAAACGTTGCTATTCTATATTTCTATCCAGGAAAGCAATTTTCTCCTATATCATGGTTTTGTTTTGTTTTTTTTTTATAAACAACAACTTGAATTCTATTGCATGAAAGGGCTACAAATATACATTTGTTAACCAAGCAGAATACACAAATATTTTGCTTTACAACTTGCACCTAAGACACCAGTACATGTAGCTGGTTCATTAGTTGTCATAGCAATTTGGGGCCACTGCCCAAGCTATGCATAGCAGTTTACATTTTCAAATCTCATGTAGAAAGGGCAATTGTGATATGGATTGTTAACTACATTCCCGTAAAGCCCATCTTAGTTACAAGAAAATGTGTAACCAAAGTCTGAACAGATTTTTGATGGCAAAACTTGTAAAACTGATGCAATTATCCTAAACAAGATTTTTTAACAAATTGTTTTGCAGATACACTGCCATTCTGCCAGTAGATGGTGCTACAAAGGTGGGGGGAAGGATTTCCAAAAGGACAACAGTTCAGCTATAGGAAAAAACGTTTAAATCTGCTCTGAAAATACAAAAATGCATTTAGTTTAAGGGTAAAATATAACCCTTATTTGTAACCATTCATTACAGACAAACCAGTAAGAGGGATGAAACTAGGCCATCTGAAAATTTTTAAACAGTTTATATGAATGAAAACACATGCTTAACACAAACTATTTCTTTCGAGCTACACAGTACATACTTTGAAGTAAATTCTCATAGAAAGAAGTGACCAACCATGTCAAGATGATAAGGAAATCGCTTAGTACAAGAGATGGATGCACAGAAACTTTAAAGATTTTAAAAAGCTACATCCACCACTTCAAAAGTTTTGCCTGTAAGGTTTAAAATTCAACATGTCACTAGAAGGGCAACAGAGAAAACAAAAACAAAAACAAACAAAAAAACCCACCAAAGGACCTTTTAAAAGTTTCTCTAAGTACACATCAAGAATTAAGAGTTAACACGAAAAATTTTTAATATCCCTTAAAACGGTACGGAATGGATCCTAGAAAAAAAATGTTAGACATATACGGTCAAACACAATGATTTATTAAAAATAAAACGTAAAAATGATTTTTGTACATATGCTTCCAAATTTCAGGCATGGGATCCAAGTAGATTTCATAGAAAACGCTGTCGCCAGGTATCAAGTCCTTACAACAAAGTAAACTACCCCCC